GGTAGAGCAGAACGCTGATCATTTTATTAAAGATGAAAGACTTTAGACAGTTTTTCAACTCTCAGTAATGCCATAGTGATCGTTTGATATATGGACCTGCAGCGGAGTTTAGGTCCAGACACGGCTAGTGATGTCAGACTGAACAACCGGATAGGAGCTGCTCACATTAAAAACAACTTTAGTTAAAAGTAATTTTACACCTGATACAAACATTTTAGAAGTCAAACAATACACAAGTTTAAAAGAAAAAAAATATTTTTAAGTTGTTTTTTTTTAGCATAAGGATGGTTAATATGTTTAGAAAATTAATATATAATATTTGTCAAATAATTGTCACCCAAATCAACATCATAATAAAAATATAATTAATAAAATATATAATAATGATGATAATAATAATAACAACAGAAACAGTTTACATAAAAGCTCTTCTAACATTAGACTGCTTTTGAAAAGTGTCAGTAGTGTCAATGCACCATAAGGACAAGGGAGTTACACAGTTGAAGTGTGACTGCTTGAAAGACCCCATTCCCTCTCCTACAGCCTGAGTGTCATCACGATCTTTCTTGTCTATTGGAGTATTGGGCATGACAATTGTTTTTTCGGTTTTTCGTATTAAACTGAATTCCAGGTTTTTAAAGATGTTAAATTGAATAACCTTGACATTATTGGTATTTTGGATATTAGTGATAAATCTGGCACCAGGGCAATCTTCTGTTGTGCTGTGCAAGTTGACTGTTGTTTCCTGTGAAATATCAACTGGCATTTCCGTGTTACGGTCAACTGTGTTAGAGGTCTGTGCAAGTTCAGGAGCTGTCTCTCTGTCTCCATTGAGGCCACTGTTGTTGTGCTAGTGACAGCAGTGTCCTGGCAAAACCTCATTTCTGCACCTGCCGACAGTGAGCATAAGGCAATGACATTATCTACAAAATTACACAGCCTTTGTAGATGCTATGGAGTTTTTACGTGTTTTGGAATTTTTACGTGTTTTGGGGTTTGTACGTGATTTGTCTCTAGCAGGCACCATAAATATACTTTTATTTATTCACTCCACATAAAATCTAATAAATAAATCATATAATAGAAAAACCAACTATTTACATTTCAACTTTTAACTATTTAAATTTTCAGGGTTTTTTTTATTATTAATTTTTATTTCCTTTTGTCTAGTGGTTTGGTGCTGTTTCTCAACTCAAAATGTCTTGTTGTAATTGGACATTTTGAGTTAAGAAACAGCACCAAACCCCAACAACACTTCCCTCATGGTGCTTTATATTGT